ACATACACACAAGAAAAAATTTCAGGGTGGCCTTCTCCGACGTCAAATACGAATGATGAGAAAGACGACTTGCTAAATAAACAAGCAATTGATCTTTTTTATTTTAGCTTTGCGTATTATTTTTCAAATCCTTGTACTAGGCCGTAAATCTGCGTAAGTGAGTGGCCGGTTGCATCAGTAGGCGGTTTTATTTTCGGATTCTTTAATTACCTCTAGGTATTCTATTGAATTTACTCAACATTATAAAATTATGAAATTGCGTGAACTGAAATTCTTTAAGTTCCAGCAAAATAATGGACAAATATCGCGTTTGATTTTTGCCTCCACTCTCAGTAAGATCATTTCGGTAGCTACCACATTCCGTTTGTCGGTACGCACTTCTGACGCCCCTACAGTGATATGCGCCATTTTGGTGGATTTCGCTAAAATATAAACCTTCTTCAAAGTAGTACTCTATTTTTGGGGCCCTTCTCATGGCTCGACCTTCTATTGGCGACACGAAAAAGAGAGACCGTCATTCAAGTTTAAGAAATTTTAAACAGCGTGGCAAAATTTGTAGCGGAAGGTAACTTTTGGGCGCCTCAAGTCGACTACCCTTCGAACACGCATGCCTTGCAAAATGATGTTAATTTCGACCCTAGGGGAAAAAACAAAATTCCATCCCGTAGGGGTTGTACGGATTTACAAGATCTTTCTGTCGATAGCTTTTTGAAAACAATCGGACCAAAACTGTAGAAGAAAAAAGGAAGAAACTGAAAAATCACCACGTTAGTAAACCACGCTCGGGGATGGCGCCCAGATATCGCCGACCCCACATCATGTAGCTCAGTTCCTAAAGTTGTTAATTACACCGCCCCGGTAGGTACACGTACACTCTGCGTCTTTCTGAACGAACGATGTTCTACGTACGGGCCCTCGTTTGCTGCCAGTCAGCCAGCCAGACAACCACAGTAAGATTGCAAGCTACCTTTTCATAGATAACGTTGCAAAAATGCGCTAAAAATGAAGCCTACAGTTCTTTACTGACTTTACTTTACTTAAAGTTACTTTACTTAAAGAAGGTTATCCGGCAATCACGGTATAAACAAAAATAAATACTGTAAATGTTATGGCTCTTTAGGTTAAAATAGTGCCGACGATAAGGGTATAGCTTGCTGGGTTGATAAGGAATATGCGTATTGAACGGAATTTGCGGTTAAAGTAATGAAAATGGCACGCGAACACCCTGTATTTAATATTACTCAAAGTTTGATCAGGAAACCTTGTGGGATTTTTTTTGTAATAAATGAGCACATAATTGATTAATTTTATTTAATTCTATTTGTAGTGTTACTTTTGCTGTAAATTTTATTCAATAATTAAGTAGATTTTAATTGATTTGTTGTAATTTAAGACGTAAAAGTGAAGAAACGTGTGGATAAAAAGTTCTTACGTCTGTGTGAGAATTATTTGGCAGATGTTTAATGAATAATGAAGGAACTTCATCAATGGGGGTTTACAGTATAGTTGAATTCCGCAGTTTTAATTTAATAAGCGTGTACCTGAAACCATAAAACATTTTTTTGGACAGTAAAAGTTTATTTAAAAATAGAGGCTGATTAGCAAAAAAATAATGGACGTGTGCGGTTTTAAGGGTTTACTCAAAACGATATGATTGTGGCGGGCTCTGTGACGTAATAAGCCCGACCAATCAGCTCCTCGAACCATTCAGATGACATAACGACTTGGCAGTATTGCAGGAGAATGTCATTTGTAACTTGCGTCACCTGTCACAGGCACCTGTCACTTGTCGTTCACTTTCGCGTCAAATCCGACAAACGTCAGACCCTCGCACAAGGTTGCCGGCTCACTTCTACGTGATTGGTTGTAGGTTTGTGACGTATTTAGACTGAAGCATTTGAAATTCGGACTAAAAACACAGCTTTTCAATAATTTATTTTGGGTTTATTTTACTCGCAAAGAAAATTGAGGACACACGAGTCTTTTTATTTTTAATGTACATTGTGGATCAGAAATAAAAAATGAAGGCGGGATGACCCCATTAAAAATTAGTTGATTTCGATAAACGATGGTGCATGTGCAAAGCAGTACAAGCAGAAATTTGAGGCAAACTTTAAAACCCTCTTTCCATTGGTAATAGATATGTCTCGTTCCGGCGTTCCACGTGCCCTTTGTGAGTGCTCACCTTCCACACACCGATTGCGAGATATTCACACTTAATTAACTTCCAGATGTTCCAATCACCCTCCTTCGGCACTCCGCTCTTGAGAGATTATATAACAGAGCACGATAAGGAGTCAAGGATAAAATCAACCCTCTCCATCCTCACATTTTGATAAGTGGCAAGGAAGAAGGGCGGCCTTATTGGTTAAATAATACAAATCATTATTTCCCCCCTCTAAAAGGATTCTGATTTAAAGTAATAATAAAAAAAATTTTAAAAATCATCAAAATCAGAGCTTGTCTTGAGGACTTCTGAAGATTGCTTCTTTTAAGTATTTATTGAGGCGATTAATTATTTTGCTCACAATACACATCACCTTGTTTTTTTGCAGTGAATATGAGCTGCTATAGGGATAGATTTTGGGGGGCTACAGTGCTTAATGAACGAATCATTTTGACCATCATGCACGGAATTTCTATCCCTTATGAATCCTTACCAAGTGCAAAAGCATTGCATGTACGCCTTTTTTTGAAGTAGAGAATGATTAATTCGTTCGAAAGCGCGAGATAAACGTTCAAACACCGTGTATTTCATGGTTCGTGCATATTAATACTTACTTAATTAAGCGTATTGAAAACCAGTTGCATAAATTTCTATTATCGTCTGTGCAATAACTTTAATTCGAATGTCAACAGGAATTACATAAAAAAAACTTACACTCTCACAACTTTTGCTTGACGTTATTGACATTAAACAAAAGGGAAAAATGAAGATATTACATTCAAAAAATAATTTAGAATACTGAATAATAGATATACAGAGTGTAAATCCTGGTGTAAATAATTGCAAAATTAGGGGCGATTTACACCTGTGAGAGCGTGGGGTTGACCGTTGGATACTTAATTTAGTTCAATTGAATATGCTTTTGAAGTTACTTCTAAAATTCACGACTTCGCTTTGACCAATCGTTTTTGATTGATTATCCACCAATCAACTTTTCAATTAGAAATTCAAAAGCTCGTGAAATGCTTTTCACTTGTATTTACGAATATATGTCACTCCATTTCGCAGTTCACTACATTTTAATTTAAAATAAGTAACGTGTCAATACAAAATATACGTGTTTGGATTTAATTAATGTGTTACTACTGGAGTAGGTAGGGTAGTCAGGTTCAATTTAAAACAGAATGTAGGCACAAGATTGAAACTATTTGCAAATTTTATTTATTCCATTGTAGCTGAAGTAAATCAAATGAACGGATAACAAAGGAAATGGTTATCGAGTCATCCATTTGTAGCGCATTTTTTAAGAATTAAAAAAAAATGTGCTATTGTTTGCGTTTTGTCCGTCCGTCCGGCCGTCTGGACCCACTGGATTTTTTTTGCAGTAGGTAGCCCTATACGTTGAAGGTGTGCTAGACGGCCATTAAATTTCAACTTTTACATACAACAACCAATTGGTCTCAGATTTTGCATACGCATGCCTGTAGTGGTGCAAAGTTAAACTTTAGAAAAAAAAGGGGGGGGGGTAAAACACATATTCTATCTTTCATGGTATTCTAATGAAAGGTCTCATCGAAATAAATTGGTTTGTACTCGATTATATGGTGCTGTGCAATAAAATCATTCAAGATTTCCAAATTATTTATTTATAGCATAAGCATTATAACATATAATTATAGCAATGAAAGAAACTAGTTCTTTCATAATTTGCTTTACTGAACGGATCCAATCAGACAATTCAAATTTACAATGGGCATATCAAATATGACACTACTTTTTCTATTAACAATGTTTCTTGAAGTCCAAGTTTACAGTAGGGTCCTTACTGAACTAGAAAACAAGATACGAAGAATCGCATACGATTTTCAGTAGGGGAATTTTTTGCCACTTCGGAAACCAGACTTTTATTCCGGTTCATATTCAATAGCACTGATCCTTGAAATCGTAGAAATTGATCGGCGTAAGTTTGGCATCGCTATCTATTTTCGTTCTCGAGTTGGACGAGGAACAGACGGGCAGACGGACAAAACCACCACATAAATTAATTTTTTTTTGGGTCACTGTGCGCCACTTATTTATAGCGCAAAATATCTCTGATACCTGATTTTTTACAAAAGGAATACTTAGTTTTCGTTTCGGAAATATCGTAACAACTTATTCTCAATTAACGAAAAAAAGAATGTTCTTCCGCAAATATGAGTTTATATTTAAGTAGCCTCGCCTTGAATTCTCTACGAGATAATGGGTTTATTTTTTGTCCGTAGCGTCAGTAATTGTTTTTTCTTTGTACACAGACACCAAAACGAGAACTTATCAAAATATACCTACGTAAAATAACACCAGATTTCCAGAAAATGAAGTGAACTTTTAATTAAGATTGTGGAAAATTTAGGGCTTCTTCCGCAAATGTTTTTATTCTAAACGTGTTATTAAGGTGTCCTCTATCCATTTCTATCAATTTCATGATCATACCTGGGGGGCTTATTAGCGTCACGTACCTCTTGTTTCCTTTCAAAACAGTGAATTCTGTAACGAATTTAGTTCTAGAGTAACTTTATTTAGCGGATATACCCCGAATATTGTTTCAAGGCGAAATTAAAAATAAAACGTCATTTATTGTTTCCATCAATTCGTCAAAATTCCTTAAATCGGTCGCTTCTAACTTGCCCGAAACCCAATACTTATCTGGGGAAAAATACTTTCAATTTCGTACAATTTGAAAATTCATACTGTACTTTTACTTATTTCTGCGAAAAATTGAAAAATTTTAATCCAAATAAAAAGCTCTCGCTACAGCGCCAGTGTCTAGTAAAATTATGGGAGAAAATCTTACCTGGTCGCTATCATGACCTTGCCAGCTATCGGTAACCTGTAACAAATAGTACAATTAGCTAAACCTTATATTAATGTCACTTGTGAAGTGTAGAAAATATCATTAAACGAGTTTTTAATGATCAAATTATGCGGTGCATGCGAGGGTGCATGTCCTTCAATATTGAAAATAGCGGTGGCTCAGACGATGCTAAAGATATTGGTATAATCTCAACATACGTACTTATAATATCTACAGGAAATTGTTCTAAAATGATCCAAAGTTCCCAATAGAAAATCTTATCAAAGGCGCCCTCTAATTGTTATAATTTTGTGACAATTTACGCTTCCCTCTGTCTATGAATTTAGGTATATTCAAAGACTCTGTCTTCATTTCTCGCTTCGCTTATCATGTTTGCTTTATTTTACGTTTCTAAGGAGTAAATGGTATTATATTAGACGCATATATCTTGAACGTACGACTTTATAAGACATGTAGCCGTTTAAAGTGCTTCAAGGAGGGTAAGCAAGACAATTCAAGTTGAGTATACTACGAGTATTTTTACACAACTCTGTTCAAAATGAACTCGTTGTAAATATCTACTTGACAGTTTAAATTTTTGGACTGCCAAATTTTAAATAATTCAAAATAAACAAACCAAGACAAACTCGCCTATGAAGGTTTCAACCTATTCCAGGTTTCTAAATCTAATCGCTAATAATGAATAAAATGTGTCTAAGTAATATCACCGAGGTAGTAGCACAGACAAGTATATGTTGTCTGTGGTAGTAGTAAACCAAATTACAGCAATGATTATATTGTGTTACCAATTAACGATATTCAAGGGCATTACAAGCGCTCATTGTTGGTGTTACATTTAATTTGAGGAAGAGAAGATTATGATTTTCTGGGGGAAGTGGTGTTCTGATTAAATTGAACCATACCGCTGTTCAAGTCACGACGGAGTAAAGAGCGTGTACGTCTTGTGCGTAATTTATGAAGTAATTTACTTTTCTATTTGTTTTCTGACGTAATTTTGTCATATTCAGTCGCTCTTATTATTTAAAACATAGGTTTTTTTCTGCAATTCGGTTTTCTTATTGGGATTAGAAATGGAACATTGATAAAAGTATTAATATTGGTCAAAAAGTTGCTCAACGTTTTATTGGTCGGTGTTGGTCAAATGAATAAGTTGCAAAAATGGATTAGCGCTTATTATTGCTACTGTACTTCAGTCAAACCAATTTAGTGACTCTTATGCTAATATGCCTGTAACTTCTAAACTCGATAAATAAACACGTTTGGCTAACCTAATAATACTTACATGTACACAAGAGTTATGTGTCACTTATTAAATTTACAAAATGTATTACAAAACAATCTAATAAAGGCGAGAAGGTAGGGTAGACGTGAATCGTACAGTTAGAAGAAAAGGCAGTTTTACATAAATATTCCACATCCCCAACTAAACACACCTAACGAAAAAGAACTGCACAATGGAATAAAATTTATATATTGCTGGCGTGAAGTTTAGGAAGGAAATGCACGTTTAACCATCCAAATCCAGTAGATTGCTATTAAAGCGACCGTTAAATTAATCGAGTTCTTTAATTAAACGAGAATTGAATCTACGTGAAAATGACCATTCACAGAACAGAAATCATTACAACTAGACAAGAAAGTGCAATTTGTTACCAGCTGCCAGCAGCGGAGTTTGGCTCTTAATTACGCATAGCCAATAATTAATTACCGACAGTTACGGAATGTAACGTTTAAGTAAATTCCTAAAGTTGCAATCCATTACCGCTTTAGGTACGGGAAAACTAACTAACTAGGTATAACAAATGGGTTAAATTTTTATACAATATATCTACACCGATCATAGTCGTTGCATTGTTTGTAGACTGTTGTATTTTCAGCTTGAGTGGTTTGGGTTTCATTACAGAAAAAAGTCAGAGGTTCTGTTACACAATGAAGTGCACAGTAGGCTCCCTTTCAGCAAACACTACTTATTCTATCGCAAATTGCTCGTATGTATAATGTAATCGAAAAAGCTTGACTTAAAAAACTTCCATCTGTGATACTTACGAATGCTATGTGTTATGCTGTCGTATTTACCACGTAATTGAAGAAGCTTTGTGTGTGGAAAACCACCTGGTGAATGTCGAGGTATTCGTCTTAATCTCGAACAAATCCTCGAATAGTTGCAGTGTCATTCAACATAACAAACTTTGTGATGCGGAACACATCGCACAATCATGAATGAAAAATTAGGTTTCCACTAATATTTTATCCTCATTTTATCATGATAATGAAGTGAACAACTGAAAAGGTACATTCTTTCTAGATTTCTCTACGAGAACGTGCACATAATGCAACCATTTTAAAATGAACATTTACCAAAATATCAGTTGTAGTATTGATCGACGAATGGGAGGACTGACTGACACACGCTATTGAGTTTATATATAAATAATAAATATACTGGAAGTGAGAAGCAAATTTTAAAATACCAATACATAGAACAAATATACGAATTTAACAAAACATCGCCCGTTTTAAAATTTACCTGGAAGCTTTGATCTTGTGTCAAATGAAAGTCGCGATTGGAAATTATACAGACATTTGAATGCAACTGCAACTTTCCTAATTGTTTGGATAGCAGTGCCGTAGCCAGCTTTTTTTTTGTGTCCTCTGCCACACCAGCCAAATTAATTAAATAAATAAATAAACTAACGATGTAAATATTGTTGTGCTTGTGTTTGGACGATGTCTATTTTCTGTTTATGCCCACATTGAAATTTGTTTACTATGATTGATTAATTGTAAAGACATTACATGTTATAAGATAAACAATATCTTGAAATTATTTGCGTAATATTTAGAAAGTTTATCTCACGTTTTTCTCTGGTCGTAGATAACAGTTGCGCTTATTGTTAAAAGTTAATTAATTTTGTAAGCAGATGTTGTCATAGATATGCGCTTTGAATAACGGATATTGAGTTGAACCGTGTTGTCTTCTGTAGCTTTAAATGTTGCCCTTGGTCCCTTATTCATTGTTTGATTCTTGGGTATCTTGGGCCGTTTATCGACAAGATTTATGTCTCCTACCCTCTGTTTTTTCCACTCGATCTCAAACTAAGATTGAACAACTGTTTAAATTCATTCATTTAGGATTATTGTTTCCATTAATTTGTAAGATAAGCTTAATTATTGATTTTCAGGAATCATTTATTTCAATTAGGAGTAGGTTGTTTTTGTTCGTTGTAGAGAGGTTGTAAGGATTTTTTATGTCTTTGTTTCAGCGTAATGAATGTAGCTCAGTTTTAATGAGTTTTTGGAATTTGCGCGTCGCTGTTGGAAGTCCTACAGAGGGAGTAAAAAAGTTTTACATTGCAAAGAGATACCTATATGGCAGTTACATAACTTTCCAAAACAAACAATAAATTTTTTATAGTGTGAATTTAGCCCAAATAGTTCGCTGCTGATGACAGCTTTACTAGAAGCTTTCGTTTCCAAATCGGATATTTAACCCCGGTGTTGGAATTCCCATTTTTCAGTTTCAAACGGCGATGTCCTGTGAATAGCACTCACACGCGTGGCTAAAGGATATTTTTCATACATAATCTAGGCACTTACAACATGTTCAAAGTTGAGTTGAGAATGTGAATAAAATTTGTACAACGTAATCAAATGATTTTCCTTTGCTATTTTGGCCGCTACGGACCTGTATCTATACATGTAAATACTTAACAGATGATTTGTGGACCAACTTTTTGTTCCCATGTGGTTGAATTTGAATTTAAACAAATATGCACTCCACTATTATCACTTAAAATGAGATATTGTTGCTGTAACTACCATCGTTGGTATTATTTGATATACTTTATTCGCGTTTACAGTAAATATACTAGCATGCCATTCACAAAAAATGAAAAACAAAGAATCGGACACCCTGTGGAATTTGTCATCTTATCCCATCAGATATGTTTTTTAATACAGTAGAATTTCTTTACTAGAGTATCGTTTGTGGTATATAGATATGCATATCTACTAATTCTTGCCATAAAGTTGAAATCCAGTATGGAAAATAAAAATCAACCAAAACTTTGTAAGCCCATTGAAAAGTAGAAATGTCATTCTTCAATGTCCACCATACAAATAGAAATATTGACCATTTTCACATGAGGTACAAGAAAGATATGAATAATGGATGTTATCTGAGATGATTCCTACTGCTCATTTTTGAGCACACAAAAAAGGTCAAAGGTCAGCTTATTATTTCGTTAGGCGTAAAAAGTTTGTTACACCCAAATAGGATTGCAAATTTATGTAATCTGAGATGAACTGGAGGGAAACTTTACATAATTTCATTTCGACTATAAATATGAAAGATGCAGAAGTTAAGATATTAAAAATTATCGTAATCTTTACTGAACTCATAAATATTATCACAGTTTAATTTATTCTGAAGGTATAATCAAGAACCTTTAACCGTACTTTTTAATTCTCTTCTGGAAATTGTTATACTTTAATAGCATTTTAGATTAGACTATCAATCATGAGCGGGATATTAATCTATTACACGAATGTGACGCAGTTTCCCTGTTACTTTTTATTACAATCTGGAAGAAATTATTGTATAGTTCACTAATGCACAACTCATTTCGGTTCTTTTAGAAAAATTTGGAAGTCCATTGTGTTTCTTGAACAAAAGCGGATATTGTACTTAATGCTTAAAAGTAGACAACTTTTGTGTAAAGTGCAAATGGATCACGAGAATAAACAGCTTTCGGCTTTGCACTGTGAAGCACTTTTACTTCATCTAATTATTTCAATACGATTTGTTGACATGAGAAGGAAAATGAAATATACAGAAATTACCATAAGAACTATAGTTTCTCGTTCCTGGCACAAGCTAAACGTCTCGTGATATATTTAGAGACGGCACGCATCAGTTAACCTACAACCCATAATTTTTTGTCAGAATATCAGTTAAAAACCAAATTCAAAACTCCTTAACCCTTAGTTTGAAAACTGTTATACAAGAAAAACCG